ATTAAAGAGCGGTGGGGAGGCAACATCTAGGCCTCATTCACATGGGATTTTTATTACAATTGCAACAAGAGTCCAGTGTATTCCTGCTGGATTCACAGGACAACACTGAGTGTTGCGGTCGCTCAGCCTGACAGGCCGACAGTAGGCGCAGCTATCCCGATATAATAGTACGTGGCACAATTACCTGCAGTTGGAGATAGATGAATGCCTCTGGATGCAAACAGCTTGCGCCCAAGGGCGATCATCTTCCCTAACCGCACCGTGTTATTGAGGCCTCAAAAGGTGGGTTATTGTATTGGTTTTCCTTCTACTTGAAGACCATTGACAATAAGCCCCCCCATCCCCAGACGATCAGCAGGCGTGACTGCACATGCGCAAAAAACCCAATGGGCCTCACAAGGTAGGCTATGATGTCCGAGCAGCGTTGCTAAGCATTGGTAACCTTAGAGTTGCTTGGGAGAACTAGTAAAAAAACAGGCAGAGGTTCCATGTGGACATCCCCGGAAAACAAGAATAAATGTCCACCAAGGTGGTGGAAAGCACCAGGTGCCAATGCAAGTGCAGCCACGCATTTTAACAACACAGGCGCAAAATCTCACAGCGGTTGCCTATAGCAGCTAATCTCCTTTGACGCACTTGTTGGTCGCTATTGACAACAACTCCATTTTTTAAGCAGTTTTTACAGATCAGCACCATCCAGGAATACGATTAACCCTTCGCTTTACACTTTCTTGGCGGGGAGAGAATAAACAACGTTGTTTGGCTGATGTCAAAGGTGAAATTCAGCCAGGTCCTCCACTTATCCGCCATCGCCCTCTACTATTGTTCTATTACTACGTTACAGATGTTCTAGGAAAACTACAAAGCCATGAAGCAATCACGAATGTATGACTTCGCTGGTAAGCGGCCGCTCTTATCGGCACGCCACACCCTGGATTCCCTCGCTGCAAGAAGCGATGACATGCTTTCTTGTGAGGAGAGTGACGTACTCCTTAAACAAGCCCTGTTTTTAAATAGAAACCCTTCCAATGGGGAAAGTCAGCCATTTGCTTAAAGAGGACCTGTCACCGCACTTCAATTTTATATTATTAAAACACTTGCAATAGGGAAAATCAGCCATTTCTTAACGGGGACCAGTCAAAACACTTGTATTTGAATTAAAACCCTGGCAGTGAGGAGAGCAATGTGTTCCTTGGCCTATAAACCATTGCAATAGGGGAAGTGAGCCATTTCATAAAGAGGACCTGTCGCCACACTTCCATTTTTATAAAACCCTTGCAGTGAGGAAAGTGAAGCGCTCCTTGGCCCTGTTTATTATTAAAACCATTGCAATAGGGGGAAGTGAGCCATTTCATAAAGAGGACCTGTCACCATACTTCCATTTTTATAAAACCGTTGCAGTGAGGAGAGGAAGCCATTTCATAAAGAGGACCTGTCACCACACTTCCATTTTTATAAAACTCTTGCAGTGAGGAGAGGAAGCCATTTCATAAAGAGGACCTGTCACCACACTTCCATTTTTATAAAACCCTTGCAGTGAGAAGAGTGACACGCTCCTTGGCCCCTGTTTATTATTAAAACCATTGCAATAGGGGGAAGTGAGCCATTTCATAAGAGGGCCTGTCACCACACTTCCATTTTTATAAAACCCTGGCAGTGAGGAGAGAAAGCCATTTCATAAAGAGGACCTGTCGCCACACTTCCATTTTTATAAAACTCTTGCAGTGAGGAGAGGAAGCCATTTCATAAAGAGGACCTGTCGCCACACTTCCATTTTTATAAAACTCTTGCAGTGAGGAGAGAGAGACATTTTATAAAGAGGACCTGTCGCCACACTTCCATTTTTATAAAACCCTTGCAGTGAGGAGAGTGACACGCTCCTTGGCCCTGTTTATTATTAAAACCATTGCAATAGGAGGAAGTGAGCCATTTCATAAAGAGGACCTGTCGCCACACTACCATTTTTATTAAACCCTGGCAGTGAGGAGAGGAAGCCATTTCTTAGAGACCCTGATGCTGAAACACACAGGTTTGCTTCGTTATATTACGTTCTGAGGTATGAAAGATTATTAGAACGTTGACACTTCTGTCAGTAGCAGAAGCCTGTCTGCCTTGCACCACCTTGTTGTCATATGACGCAAAAACAAGTGGCGGAGCAGCAGCAGCCCCATTACTTCTTTCTGCATCCCAGCAGTTGCATGGACACGTTTCATATGACCAAAGGCTCACAGAGACAAGTGACCTCCCCACCCCTTCTACTGTCACCTTTATTATACTATCATAACCCCTCCTTTCTTATACCGTCTTCTTTATTATACTATTTCCTTTTTTACGACAGCATCATGCTCTACTGCTGCAAGGATTTCTATTAAAAAGTGAATTCAAGGGCCCTTTAAGACCAAGGGCGGGAAATTCCACTCGGAGAAAGCTGAGGCTGCCAAGTCGAAACCACGCCCCCTCCATCTCCTCACCGGAGGAGGGAGCTCACTATCGGCAGATATGACGTCACCCAATCAGAAGAAGGCAGCGGCATCCTGTGTGGAGTCGGGGCGTGGCTGCAGCGTGAATGCCGGTGGTTGTATCTGTCAGTGACAAGTGCCGATGTACAGCGTCCATCACTATGGAATCGCCTCACACTGACACCCCCGATAATGACAGTATGTATCAGTCACATAATAAAACCATGAACGTGTATCCCCCCCATATTACGTCACGTCCGCCCTCCTCCTTCACCTCACACGCCTCAGTTTCTGCGGTTATCTGAGGTAAAACTGCTCCCACCCCCCAGCAGCAGCAGGGGACCCCCATAAATGGCTGACAGCATGCCAAGCTGACAGGAATGGCTGACCTAACCAGCCATTGTATCCATAGTGTGGGACTACAAGTCCCAGTGTGCGTGTGTGAGAACGCACCCTTGCTTTATAATATTAAAAAATATATAAAAAACAAAAATAAATATAAAAATAAAGGAAAGCCCAGCCATGCCTGACAACTTTGGTTCTGTTCCCAGCAGCCTACACCCCAATGACCATAATGGCAGGAGTCCATCTCTAGTACTACAAGGCCCAGAATGCCCTGCAGGGAACAACCCTAGCTTTAAAACAATAATAAATGACATATCATGGACGCACCAGAAGTCTCAGCATTGCCTGACACCTTAACTTCTGTCCCTAGTGACACCCAGAGAAGCAGGAGGCTATCCTTGTAGCACTAATACTCCCAGAATGCCCTGCAGGGAACCACCCTTGGTTCACAGTAATAATGAAATTATAAATAATAAATGAAGAACAACCGGCACAACTTTGCCTGCCTTCCCCTGCCCGGTGATATCTGCCATAATAGCAGGAGAAATTGGATGCTGCTGGGCCCGCCATGTGTAGAACCACAAGGCCCAGCATGCCCTGCAGCCTTCTACTCTCATAATAACACAGTTGCATTGTAGGTTAGTCCCAGAGAGCCCTGGGTGACACCCAGTAATAATGAGCATTCTCTGTCCTGTCTGCTGTAGGACTACAAGTCCCAGAGAGCCCTGGGTGACACCCAGTAATAATGAGCATTCTCTGTCCTGTCTGCTGTAGGACTACAAGTCCCAGAGAGCCCTGGGTGACACCCAGTAATAATGAGCATTCTCTGTCCTGTCTGCTGTAGGACTACAAGTCCCAGAGAGCCCTGGGTGACACCTAGTAATAATGAGCATTCTCTGTCCTGTCTGCTGTAGAACTACAAGTCCCAGAGAGCCCTGGGTGACACCTAGTAATAATGAGCATTCTCTGTCCTGTCTGCTGTGGAACTACAAGTCCCAGAGAGCCCTGGGTGACACCTAGTAATAATGAGCATTCTCTGTCCTGTCTGCTGTAGGACTACAAGTCCCAGAGAGCCCTGGGTGACACCTAGTAATAATGAGCATTCTCTGTCCTGTCTGCTGCAGGACTACAAGTCCCAGAGAGCTCTGGGTGACACCTAGTAATAATGAGCATTCTCTGTCCTGTCTGCTGCAGAACTACAAGTCCCAGAGAGCCCTGGGTGACACCTAGTAATAATGAGCATTCTCTGTCCTGTCTGCTGCAGGACTACAAGTCCCAGAGAGCCCTGGGTGACACCTAGCAATGAAAGAGCCACTTTAAAGGCTAATCTATAGCAACATACAGGTATGCTGCCCTCAGGTAGGGCTACAAGTCCCCGAGAGCCCCGGGTGACACCCAATAATGAAGAACCCCCCTCTGATCTGTCTACTGCTTTCAGATAGGACTACAAGTCCCAGAATGACACCTAGTAATAAAGGAGCCCCCTCTGCTGCCCTCAGGTAGGACTACAAGTCCCAGAGAGCCCTGGGTGACACCTAGTAATAAAGGAGTCCCCTCTGCTGCCTTCAGGTTGGACTACAAGTCCCAGAGAGCCCAGGGTGACACCTAATAATGGACTCAGTCCTATATCATAGAGGGCACAGCCATAGCAATGCTCAGGTATGCTGCACCCATTTGCTGCCTTTAGGTAGGACTACAAGTCCCAGAGAGCCCTGGGTGACACCTAGTAATAAAGAAGCCCCCTCTGTCCTGTCTGCTGCCCTTATGTAGGACTTCAAGTCCCAGAATGACACCTAGCAATAAAGGAGCCCCCTCTGCTGCCCTCAGGTAGGACTACAAGTCCCAGAGAGCCCTGGGTGACACCTAGAAATAAAGGAGCCCCCTCTGCCCTGTCTACTGCCTTCATGTACGACTACAAGTCTCAGAGAGCCCTGGGTGACCCCTAGTAATGAAGCAGCCCCCCCTCCCCTCCATACTATAAAAGGCTCCGCCTCTGTAGCACTGCTCAGGTATGCTGCACCTGTCCGCTGCCCCCTGGTCAGCCCTCGCCTCCTATAGTCACATAACGGTCTGCCTCCACTGATCCCTCCAACACATGCAGATCCCAACCACAGCATCCTGGACAGAAGACTCAGGTGTCATACATTGAAGGGGCCAGCCAGTGGACACACCCAGATGTACAGAGTGCACACTTACCTGAGTTAGCAGATGTCAGCTGGAATAAAAGCAGCATGAGAGCCAGAGATGACCTGGAAGGTGTCATCATTAGATCCTTATTGCTGATCCCTATGTCTGGAGAATTAAAGGGCAGATCCCCCCGCTGTATCAGTGTGATGTGGGCTTCCCCCTGTACGATGGAGGAGAGTGACACAGCTCTGCTTCAGATTGCACTGTGTTTAGGGTAGTCACCAGTGAATTGCAGTTAATTTTTTTTTTTTTGCACACTAGTAGTAGTGGAGGGGGAGGGGCAAAAAAGTGGTGTGATTTTTTTAAAGATGGTATTGTTCCTACCCAGGAGGAGGAGCACACAACACATGATGTGACATAGGCAGAGCACTCCTATGCTGGGCAATGGAGACAGGCACACACCCTGGGGCTGACTCATTTCCTATAGGCAGCACAGGCCCTCCTACAGGCATACCTCAAATGCCTGCGTACGCTGGGAGGATATGGGGATAATGATGATATGGATCCGGACGATTAGACGGGGAATCGACCATCCTGCTCTAAATATAGAGAAGCCTTTTTATGTGAGCGAATCGAGCCAATGTAATAATCCCATCGCTAAGCCCCACGCGGGGATATTAGTAACCGTAAACGCAGGGGTTGCCCGTAGCGACCCGTGAGACGCCGAATGTTATTTTTTGCAAATCTTCATCGAACCTTGGATTTTGATTTCTAATTTAATTCAATAATTAGAATGATAAAAAGCAAAAAGAAGCACTGGATGTAAAAAAAACAGTGAAATTGTTTATTATTGTTACTATTGGGCCTCATTCACACAGCGGCGCGGCCCGTAGTCCGTGGATGGGCGGTGTGTCTGTGCGTCTAGAGCCAGGAAGTCTATGAGGACGCAGCGGCGTGGCATTCACCTGCATCTGCACGCCTGTACAGACAGGTGTTTTCCTGCGTTTGATGTGCGCTGAAGAACGCACACAGGCCACCAATATGTTGTTGACTTTAAGGGCTCATTCACGCTGGGCAGAAAAAATGCGTTTAGATACGCGCAGTTTATAGTTTTTTGTGCAGCTAAATGCAACACTTATAGTAGTCGATGAGCCTGTACACACAGCTGCGTCTACATGCATAAAAGCGCACGAATGTGTAGTCATTCACTGAAATTAAAAATATTGCATGCATCTAAACGCTGTACGCTTCTAAGGGCCAGTTCACACCACAAAAACGCTTTTGCATGCGCTTTTTCAAGACTTAACAAATCCCAGGTGCCATGTCACCATGGCGACTGGAAATTGTGTCCTGGTGCCTGGGTTCACACACTGCCATCCATTGACTTCAAGGCAAAATCACGTCCCATTGACTTCAATGCAAAATGACATCCCATTGACTTCAATGTAAAATCGCGTCCCATTGACTTCAATGCAAAAAATTGGGCTCAACAAATCCCAAGTGCCAGATCACCATGGCGACTAGAAATTGTTTCCTGGTGCTTGGGTTCACACACTGCCACCCATTGATTTCAAGGCAAAATCACATCTCATTGACTTCAGTGTAAAATCGCGTCCCATCGACTTCAGTACATAAACACCTCTCATTGACTTCAGTGCAAAATCGCGTCCCATTGACTTCAATGCATAAAATTGGGCTCAACAAATCCGAGGTGCCAGGTCACCATGGTGACTAGAAATTGTGTCCTGGTGCTTGGGTTCACACATTGCCACCCATTGATTTCAAAACAAAATCACGTCCCATTGACTTCAATGCAATATCGCGTCCCATCGACTTCAATGCAATATCGCGTCCCATCGACTTCAATGCAAAACCACCTTCCATTGACTTCAATGCAAAATCACACCCCATTGACTTCAATGCAAAAATGCCTCTCCGCATGCCACTCTATCATTTGCAAGTCTGGATTACAAAATCGCATCCCATCTACTTCAATGCATAAACACCTTCCATTGACTTCAATGCAAAATCGCGTCCCATTGACCTCAATGCAAAATTGCATCCCATCGATTTCAATGCATAAACACCTCACATTGACTTCAATGCAAAATTACATCCCATTGACCTCAATGCAAAATCGTGTCCCATCGACTTCAATGCATAAACACCTCCCATTGGCTTCAATGCAAAATCGCATCCCATTGACTTCAATACAAAAATGCCTCTCATTGACTATGCAATGCCAAAGCTCCTGTCAATAGCAATCCTAGGTGAACACTTATCTACGCATGCCACTCTACTCTATAATTTGCAAGTCTGGAACGCAAAATCGCATCCCATCTACTTCAATGCATAAACATCTCCCATCAACTACAATGCCAAATCGCGTCCCATTGACTTCAATGCCAAATCGTGTCCCATTGACTTCAATGAATAAACACCTCCCATTAACTTCGATGCAAAATCGCATCCCATTGACCTTAATGCAAAATCGTGTCCCATCAACTTCAATGTATAAATACCTCCCATTGACTTCGATGCAAAATTGCGCCCCATAGACTTCAATGCAACAATAGCTCTCATTGATTTTAATGTCACAACTCCTGTCAATGTGAACACTTATCTACGCATGCCACTCTTCTCTATAATTTGTGAGTCTGGAACGCACTTCTACAAACTCACACAGGACCCTTTTCAGTATGGCACTCAGAAGCGTCTGTGTGAACCGCCTTAGTAGGAACACATAATATTTAGCCCATATAAACGAACAGTGCAGCGCTACAAATGAATAAAAGTGAGAATAAATTCAAACCTAAATTGTGCAATCACAAGTGACAAAGTGCATACAAGACAGCAGAAACGTGTAAATTCCGTTCAAATGTAGCAAAAAATGAATATAACCGATTGCAACAAATATATGTGACCAATCATAAAGTGCAGGTGCATGATACTGAACGTGAACCAAGTGATGGTGAAATAGTCCATTCCAAATAATGATGGTGAACGAACTCCACTGCAGATGCAATTTAGCAGCACAAAAAAGCGATCTTCCCTGTGACTCCTCCACCACTATACACTCACTGGAACATACACGTTATACAGCCTGATCACCCTTTTGTTTCCAAGGGTGGGAGAGTCTGAGGTGTGAATGGTCCTTAACCCCTTCCCGCCAGCGCCTCCCGGCCCTTTAAGAGTTTCAGAAGCCGGGGGGCGGGGTTTAGGGATCATGTGAAAGAGCAGACCGGGACCTTTCCGTGAGTACCGGACATGTGAGCTGGGAGCGTGCAGGGTGCGTGCTCTCAGCACATATGTTTTTTCTTACCTGAACGCAAATGTGCGGCCGCCCGGCGTCTAGGCCCAGACGCCGGGAGGCCCCACATTTGTGTGCAGCCAGCCTAAAGGGATTAATATTTCTTTTGTTTCCAAGGGTGGGAGAGGTCTGAGGTGTGAATGGTCATTAAAATTTCTTTTGTTTCCAAGGGTGGGAGAGGTCTGAGGTGTGAATGGTCATTAACATATCTTGTGTTTCCAAGGGTGGGAGAGGTCTGAGGTGTGAATGGTCATAAAATATCTTGTGTTTCAAAGGGTGGGAGAGGTCTGAGGTGTGAATGGTCATTAACATATCTTGGGTTTCCAAGGGTGGGAGAGGTCTGAGGTGTGAATGGTCATTAACATACTGTATCTTGGGTTTCCAAGGGTGGGAGAGGTCTGAGGTGTGAATGGTCATTAACATATCTTGGGTTTCCAAGGGTGGGAGAGGTCTGAGGTGTGAATGGTCATTAACATATCTTGTGTTTCCAAGGGTGGGAGAGGTCTGAGGTGTGAATGGTCATTAACATATCTTGTGTTTCCAAGGGTGGGAGAGGTCTGAGGTGTGAATGGTCATTAACATATCTTGTGTTTTCAATGGTGGGAGAGGTCTGAGGTGTGAATGGTCATTAACATATCTTGTGTTTCCAAGGGTGGGAGAGGTCTGAGGTGTGAATGGTCATTAACATATCTTGTGTTTTCAATGGTGGGAGAGGTCTGAGGTGTGAATGGTCATTAACATATCTTGTGTTTCCAAGGGTGGGAGAGGTCTGAGGTGTGAATTGGTCATTGCCATGTGTGACAAGCTTGGTAGGAACATCCTGTGTTCAGTGTTTTGTCCATTTGAGCACCTTGAAAACGCTTTACATGCATTTTTCATGATGAAAAAAGGCTCTGGACAGCATCGTGAACTGGAAGAGTTAAAAAAAATGTCAAACACGATTTGCAGCCTTTAGCTGCGTGTACAAGCGTTTTATGTTTGAAACGCTGAAAAAAATCAACTGCTGAACGCAAGTTTTCTGCGTTCAAAAAAAACCACTGCAAACTCAAATGCCTGTAAACGACTGTAAACAACGATGTGTACATGGACACATAGGAAAACATTAGGGAGAGTTCAGGGGCTGCTGAAAAAAACGCTGAACAGCTCTTAAACGTGAGTTTATCAGCCGCAGTGTACATGAACCTTATTATAATATTTAGCCTGTCATGCGGATCTGGGAGTTTGAAAACGCATCCAAAATCGAATATGTGTGAACCAGGGCTGCTCCATGTACACGTGGGGTTTTGAGATCACGGTGGGGAACATTATTTTAAATGGTAACTAAAATGTGCGGTTTTGTCATGATTGTTGCGCAGCAAATCAGATCGCCCAAAAGCTGCCTTGTCCCAGGCGCTGACAACTCATGCTATGATAAAAAAAAAGGCTCCTAACTTTTTTAGCTGGCTCCTAGATTCAAAGCAAATTTGTCAAGCCCTGCTCTTTTTTATGCGTTTTTGATGTGTTTCCGGATGCATTCCAGATGCTTTTCTTTCCTTTTTTTTTCATTTCAGTTGCAAAATCTATACTTTCATAAAGACAATGCTTTTCCTGTTTTGTTCACCGTACAGGGGGTCCGGTGCTTTTTTGATGCTTTTTACCGCATTCCAGGACAGTTCTGTGCAGGAAAAAAGTACTTCTTTTTCTGGAACTGAAAAGCACTGGAACGCACTGCGCTGGTGTGAACTATGCCATTGGAACCCATACAACCTACTTTGAAGCAGAAAAAAGCACTGCACTGCACGTGGTGTGAAGCGGCCCTAAATGCACCCGCAATGCAAATTCTTGTTCGT